AATGGGGGGTGGAGAGCTCGCAGTTGTGATATACACACATTGTTTGCATAGCACAGAGGTGGCCATTCCCATGAGGATATGAAGAGGTAAGCTAACAAAAAATTTAAGTTTATGTGTTCGTATACAGCAGCTGCATATGCTGCTTCATGTACACTTCATGTACATTGCTGGCATATGTTTTTTAAAAATACCTCTGCAAAGGTGGAAAGGGGCTTTAAAGTGACACTAAACTCAGGTTTTAAACCTTAAAAATACATTGAAGTATCCTAACAGTTAACAAAAATTTATCTTATTTGTGTATCACTCAGCTGTAGATCTTCAAATCATCTCTGAATGATGGACTACAATCTCAATACAAATTAATAAATGAAACAAGAGATTGTAGTCCATCACGGGGGTAAGCTTGGAGAGGTGACTACTGTACAACACAAACAGGGACTTCATCAGGATCTGGGTGTATGTGACGTGCCTCTCGATTTCTGATGAACATTGTTCAGTTGTAGCTAGCAGCTACACATAGGTTTACCTAGGGTGGTTGTAAGTTTAGAGTGTGGGACTTGTTTTTATTATATTTCTTTTCTATGTTTCTTTTTTGCCTAGCACAAGTATATTATGATTTATGCACATATGTATGATTTTTCCCGAATGATAATCACATTCACAGTTAGAATTTTGTTCGTTCAGATAAGAAATTAGAAAGATTTCTACCCTGAACCTTCAAATTTTCTTTTCCAAACAGTTGAAAATGATTGTCAATTCATCCCCATTAACCATTAGAAATATTTTTGAACAAAATTCTTCTGGTGTTTGGCCTGTTTTTGTGTGGTTACTGCACTGGCATAGTAACTACACAGAAATAAGCAATGTATGCTAAAATCTGTACTATAAATACTAAAACATTTTAGTTTTATCTATATTTTTTTGTATTTAGGATCAATATAAATCCAAAGTTCTATTACTACATTCAAAAGTGAAACAAGACCGTATTTTTATAAATGAAGCTTATCATTCAGAACTAACACTGGAGGTTTGACAGAAGCTTGCATTGGCTGGTGCATTATTTATTACAGAGATCAAGCCTTTGTCAACAACCTGCTACCCCTTAAATACAATGTTTTCTAATAGTAGTATAAGGCAGCTGTAGTGCTGATCCCTTGCAGTTATGTTGTACTGAATTATTTCATATTAGGTCATATATGTAAGTAAACTGTCCCATTAGATCTTCTGTAATGGCAGGCTTGAACATCAACACAGGTTGTGAACTGAAAACTGGAAAGAAAAAAATGCCCTTAGCTGTGACAACCTCTATGTATTGTTGTTAGCCACATACAAAACATGAAGAACAATAGTCTGACAGGACTGACATCCAAACCAGTTTTATTATTTTGCAGCTAGCATTTATTTGTGATCTTCATTCAATGTGTTGCACCTGTCTGTTCGTGTTGGCAACAGGCATATGGGCCAGTATCTCTACACCAAGTGGGCTGCAAGCATGTTGGCCCCATTATGTTGATTTAAATTTATATTGCCTTCAGCTTTGGGTGGGGGATTCAATAAGGCGCAATAGAGAAGTAAAGGACCCAACCAATATTATCTGTGCACCAACATCCCCTTATTTTACTCCAGAATGTTATATGGGATTCTGAGAGATTCAACAAGGAGACTGAAATCACTCCCACTGAAGCTGGGGTATGTTTTACTTCCACCAACGCAGGGGCATTTTGTACGTCTCTTGCATTCACCAGATTGATGTGACCTCTAAATGAACAGAAGGTATAACATGGGCTTTGATTATTCTTGGGTCACCACACATCCAACCCTTTGCCAACTTGAGTGCACACATCTGATTGTTACCAGCCAATGAGTATCTGTAGCTAAATTGCTTTCTGAAGTATCTTAACTTCCGGGTCTTGGATTAATTGTAAATTGGCATTAGGTTTTACCTTTGTAATACTGTTATAATGTAACAACAGTTGACTGAAACAGGGAACTCAAATGCTTATCCTACGCTAATGCCTGAAAGCTTTAAGAGGTTGAAGAGGGATTCAGTCTGCTAACATTAAGTCAAAACTAAAATGTTCCTTTTTCATGGACATACCCTTTATATAACTACACCAATAAAGAGACTCTATACCAGCTACAAACTGATAATGGTGGCAAATAAACTGAGAATCTGCATTGCATGCATCTCCCTGCTTCTGTTTCATCCATTCTGAGGATCTGTGCTTCCTCAACCTTCCCTGCTTCTTGCCCCACCAGTCCTCAGGGGGCATCTGTGACATGAGGAAGCAAAGTTATTTTCATCCACCAAGATGGCGGCCTCCACACGGACACAGTGCAGAACAAGGCATGGTAAACCAGTAATGGGGGAGATCAGGTGTGGGGAAACCATGGCCAATACTGGTGACTAGTCGTTTTCTCTCTGCCTGCCTTTTTTTGAGTACAGCTTTCAGAGGTATCCTTTGAACATGTTAGAAGGCGCTTAGTGGTGCCTGTTATACAGGTTATATGCTACATAGATTATTATGTAGCAAGTACAAAGCCAGTCTTTAATAAACAGGTTGTTGTTTTAATATGAATAGCTGGAAAGCATATAGGACTGTATTTTCCTATTGGGGCAATAACACAAATAAACAGAATGCTTTGGGCAATTTCACATATATAGTGGTGACCCGTGTTGCATTGCACTGGATCAACGCAGGTCACATGCACACCACAATGCAGGTGTGATGATGGGTGAGGCGCTGCAAGAAAATGCAAACATGCTGCATTTTATTGCAGTGCACTGCATGACACTGCAGATCAGCATGCGGCAGCGCAGCGCACCACGCTGCCATGCAGACACCTGTACAGAGTGTACACATTGTACACTCCATATAAAGTAAAAACAAAAAAAACAATGCCACCCCCAGCAGTGTTCAATGCAACGCACACTACCGGAGCTCTCACAACACATTAGACCATCTGCTGAAATGCAGCGTTCTAGCATACAAGCTAGTGTGAACAGACTCTGAGGCTCTTGCAGTCCAGTGCCTAAAAGCTAAGATAGAGTAAAAAGAATGTTTCTATAAATTATAAATAACATTAAGAGCTTGTTAAAGGGAAACAACAGTTGGTTAGGTTATATACTGTATGCCCTTACCATATGGTAACCTCCCTCCCCCATAGACTGAAAAACCACTTGTGTTGTGGAACATGATACACAAAGGGTGCCATGACAAATATTTCTACAACCAACTAAAACTGCCTCACCATGTGTACACGGAAAACACAGAGAACATGTACCGACAACAAAGTGTGAGAGAAGATATAACAACCGAACACATTTGAAGCATTCTTTCTACAACGAAAATCAAATATTATTCGGAAAGTTCTTTCCAACACTGTTGCAGAAGTTGCCACAAATGTGCCGCACTTGTAGGTTGCTTTGCTTTCACCCTTCTGTTCAGTTCATCCCAAACCAGTTCGATGGGGTTTAAAGGTGGCCATACATTTTACAACCCTCGCAAGACTTTTGTCTTGCGAGGGTTGTAAAGTAATTAAAAAAACGTACGATCTGGCCATCTTGGACAGGCAGATCGTACTTGCGATCATCGCAAGTCCGCCCCCCTGAGGGGCGGGCTTCTGATGACTGCAAACTGGCAGTGTGCGAATGCGCACACCGACCCGTTCGGCAGTTGTCGAACAAGCAGGCCACTAACTCGCCGAGAATCGTACGATTCCCGGCGGGTTTTCCAGTCTGCTGGTTCGACGGAAGACGTGCGACCGTACAGTAGAAACGGTCACACACCTTCCATACACTTTGCAATTATCGTACGATCGCGGGATTTCCTGCGATTCTCTACGATAATCATGCAGTGTATGGGCACCTTAAGTCTGGACACTGTGCTGGCCATTTCATGATTTGATGCCTACCATTCTTTTCTTCTAAGATAGTTCTGACACGGCCTGGAGGTATGTTTTGGGTCATTATCTTGCTGTAGGATGAGCCCCTGACCAACTAGGCATACTCCAGAGGGTAGTGCATGGCACTGCAAAATGCTGTGGTAGTTTTGGTTCAGGGTGCCGCTCACTCTGTGCAAGTTGCCAACTCTGGATCCAACAAAAGAGCCCCCCTCATCGCAAAAATAATTTTAAATATATAAAATAAGCTTTAAAAAAATTGTAATATCCATAAAGAACGCAACTCTCTGCAGCATCTATTGTACGCCCATGGTGCCCCCAGAGAGTGTGTCCAATATGCCCTGGGCTGAATAATGCTGTAAGAAGATCAGGGCTGGATCACAGAGCGTAGAGTATGCGGAGGAAAGCACTAGAGAGAGGATGAGTATTGCAGTGAGAGCCATTTTCTTCATATCAACTTGTGCGAGGCGATGCATTTGTTAAAGCTGGAATTGGGTGTTATAGAATGTTCTGCAAAGTGCAATGCAATGCTGGAGCCCTATAAAAAAAAATCCCTACTCCCAAGAATGGGGCACAAGAACACTATCCCTTGATACCCGCAATGCAGTAATAATTTCCAAAGTTGCTAGTCATTTGGCATAAATATTGTCATCTGAGTGTCAGGGCTAGACCTATGCAAATGCCATGGGTTTACTGTATCTGCCTAGGATTTCTGAGGATGCTCTGGAGCAGAAGATTAGGGGACAGGACAGTCCTATGGTGAAATGCTCCATTTCCATCAAAGCTGCGCATTCCTACCAATAAATCAATTTTATATACTGCATTAATGTCAAACCATCGTACAATGCACCCCCACAGAGGAAGGTAACCATTGGGCACCAAGGTCTTACATCATGTTTATTACGGTGAACTATAACCACTGTTATAGTAGATATTCCTCTCTACTAGATCACAATCAACTCATTTGCAGCATTTTGCTTTCAGTGTGTTACATACGAGCTGATTGCCAACAAGTGCTTAAAGCCTATCTCCAGTTACAAGAACCTCCACCTTGCAGTGGGGCTACTCCTGCATTACAAGGGTTAACTCTTTGTTTTTGTCTAGGGGACTGGTGTCACTTTTATTTACCCGATTCCCCACTCCAAGACCTGCACCTGCAGCGTCTTCCCCCTCCAGCAGTCAGAGGCCTGCTGACATCATCACATCTAATGAGGTGCCCATAGCAACCTGGAATGTAGGGAAGAGAGGTGAGCGCTGACCACCACAGAATGGCCAGGTGAGTAAAAGACCTCTTCACCATACCCCTACATATAAATCACTAGTTAACCCTTGAAGTGTGTGTGGGGAAGATAGGCTTAAAATCTCGCCAGCCCCACTCCACCCCCAGGCCACTTTGACAACCCCTGCGACCGACCACAACATTTATCTCACAAATAGGTGTATTTAAGCTGCAATCAAATGGGAATTTCCTAATTTCGGTGTGTTTAAGGTCCTATTGTTAAAATTGCAGCACATGAAAATGCATATTTAAAAACATACGTCAATAACGGACAGAAGCGACTCCGGCTTCAACCTGGCCATAGATGGCTCGAAATTCAGCCCATTCCTCCCAAATTGGCCAAAATTTGAGCAGCGGGTGGCACTGCTGAGACCCCCCCAGTTCGACAAATGTAAATTTAAAAATAGACTGAGCTGTGTGGACAGTTCTGCTCTTTGTCCTTCTTGATGTTATGATAAGCACCAAAGCCCTGATGAAGCAGATTGCTTGGCCATCGAAATGTGCTTGGATGCCATTTTTTCCTGTTGTCACAAGAGGATTTAGATCAATAAAGTTTGGATTCTTTGAATGTCTGTTTGGCATTTTGGTTTATATACACATGAATACAACACCCGGCATTGGAGATGACACCAGCTACATTTAGCGTGGATGGAGGAATCTATTGTTTTCTCTCGGTCAGCCTGTGGGATGCATGACAGAAATCTTGCCTTGTATGGCTACCATTAGGCTTTGTCCTTTGTGCATTTTACTAATCCAGTACCTAACAGATTGTGTAGGACAAAATGCCTTCAATATGGGACCATTGACACACGCATTTTAATGTACACAGGTTAAAGTGACAAACGCAGTCGTCCCCCTCCCAATCCTGCTGTGGGCACTCACCTTATTTCATGCCTCTTGATCCGATCATCTCCCTTCCACTCATTTTGCACTGTCCCTCCAGTGCTAGTGCCGGTCTCTGACTGACTGCAGACTCCTTTGGTCCCACGGTGTCTGTCCGAAGTGCGCGTTCCCAGCTGCGTCCATCTAGCTTCAGCATTGCTTTCCTCCACTCCCCTCCGACGATCTGGACTGCACATGTGCCCACCCACACTTCTTTCTTCAGTGTCCGGGAGCCGGGACTTCGGCTGCCGGGAGCGAGCGGCGCGTACACAGGTAACTTTGTTAGTGTTGTGCAACTTTTTTTTTACTTTGGGCATATACCTACTCCTTACCAGCAGTAGATATATGCCAAAAAAAACCCCAACAAAC